AAAAAAAAAGGACGAGGCAATTAAAATACACTGCAAAAAAAAAAAAACTTTAACCGACTCATTCCACTACGAAGGGTAAAATGGTAATTTGGTAAAGGCGAGCAAGAAATAGCTACCACGTAACATCCTACGTGGCATTTTCGTGCCAAGTCAGCTTCACCACAGCCTCTTCAGCTTCGGCTATTTGCTCCTATAAAGACCACCCAACCTCCTTTCACCCACACCATCTCATCCACACCAGGAAAAAAATTGAAAAAAAAAACATTTTTTAAAGATATTTCTCTCTGTATATTTCTTTTCTTCTTCATCATCCACCGGCGAAGTGAATCTCGCCGGAAAAAATGGATATTCTGGTGACTAAGTCCCCTATTTCCTCACGTAGAATAGCCATCTCTGACCACCGTCGTCATGTGTTCCGTGAAAACCCTCGGAGCTAAGACAACTTGATCCGTCTCTTAAGACTTCTTTTCTCCATATTTTAGTATGATTCTTTTCTTTGTTTTGTGAAGATGATCGGCTGATTGAAGAAGACGGAATAGGTTTCTTCTGGTAGTAGCTGAGAGGGTTTGGTAGATTCCGGTTATAGGTTTCTTCTGGTAGTAGCTGAGAGGTTTTGGTAGATTCCGTTTTTCTTCTTCTTCTTCTTCTTTTGCGGTTCCGAGACCCAGATGCTGTCAGTTTTTGGAATTTGACTTTTGAATTTTGTTTCGGGAGAGGGATCTCAGGTGTAAATGTGGACGAATTTGTGGAGTTCTTGACGGAATTTGAATTTTCTGTGTTTCTGTTTCTGTTTCTACCTTTGAACGAGAACTGACTTGGACCATATTCCGGGGAGGGAGAGAGAGAGACGGAGAGATATCAGATCTTCTTCTACTTAGTCGTCTTCCCGAGAGATGCCATTTCCGATGAAGATCCAGCCTATTGACATCGATTCACCGGCGGTGAGAGAGCCAGCTCGAGCGGATTCAGGCAAACCGGTGCTCAAGTCTCGCCTCAAACGGCTGTTTGATCGGCCGTTCACAAGCGTCTTGAGGAGTTCGACCTCGGAGAAACCCATCGCTGGCGCTGGGGAAGCTCATTACGGCCGAGGTGGAGGTACCGGAGCTGAGTTCGAGCCGAGCTCCGTTTGCTTGGCGAAGATGGTTCAGAACTTCATAGAGGAAAACAACGAGAAGCAACCCAAATGTGGTCGCAACCGCTGCAATTGCTTCAACGGGAACAACGACGACAGCTCCGATGACGAGTTAGATCTGTTCGGCGGCTCCGTCGATTCTTTCACCGGCGGATCTTTGTCCGACGCATCCGACTATCTGAAGGTATGCACAATTAGTTCGTCGGCCTCTCCTTTCCAATTTCTCAGTTGCCAAAACATAGTTATAACGATTTCACTGCTGTGTTCTCGATCCAACAGAGCTTGATCCCTTGCGCGAGCGTCGCCGAGAGGAACCTGCTAGCTGACGCGGCGAGGATTGTCGAGATGAACAAATCCCTCAAACGCAAAGACGATATGAGGAAGATTGTCGTGGAAGGACTCTCATCTCTCGGCTACGATTCTTCCATCTGCAAATCCAAATGGGAGAAATCTCTCTCTTT